ATCAACATTGTACAACCCTCTCATTTTCCTATGAAAAGAAGATGCAACGCATAAATATAGAAAGGGAATATTGTTTCTCCTATTGCATCATGATAAATTTTCTCATACAATATATAAAAAGTAAATGGAATCCATTAAGGAGAAGAAAAAGAAAAAAAATTAAGTGAATCTTATTCATTTTTTTGATGTATTATATGAGATAAATTGTATCGTGTAACATGAGAAATAGAAATTTGAAAAATGAGATAGAACAGTACGGTTATTGTATTGATAATGATTTCCAGTGTTTCATTTTTTAGGCTTTGCCTTTGCACAATTATTTTTTCTTAATAGCAAACCATTAGGCTTAAGTCGTATGTAACCAAACACTAGTAGAATTGGGCCTGTAATGCTAAAATTAGGTCTTTAATGTCAAGCCATTATGATTATGATTATAAATACAATATCACGGGTTTGGGCCTATATATTAAGCAATAAAAGTTTAAGTGGAGTTAGATATATTTCCCCATCCTTTTAACATAAGAATAATCTATTTAGATATCAACCAATACGATTAAGTAGTTTTTTTCCAAAGTATTATCCCCAAAACTTGAATCTTTATCCTTACTTGATATCATTATACGCTTATCAATGTGTTTGACCTTTGTGAGTAATATTCTATTAGCTTTCATAGTTATTTTTTTATGAGAAAAATTAAGAGAAATTTGAAATGCTTAAAATGTTCTATATTTTAATAACTTGAGTAATTTAAAAATAAAATGAGATAAATGATCCGAAATGGCACAGTCAAGATTTTAGTAGATACGCACACCCATATATATAATGGAATGAATATACAAGATCATGTAGCTTTATATTACGAGTTAAAAAATTGAAACAACAAAATTTTTCTCTTCAAAACAATCCCTTGTAGCTGTATCTCAAAGCGTCAATAACATATTCATCCCAGATACATGCATACTTGGGGACGTTTGGTTGAGGAGAAATTTTTTGAATACTAGGGAAATGTAATTACTAAGGAAATGGTTGGAAAGTGAGTTTGGTAGGAAAATGTAAAAAAAGTTGTTTGGTTGATCAAAATATTACCAGGGAAATTTATTTAAATTTACAAAATCTATGTTCGGGAGAAACTTCGCACCTATTTTTCACTTCCCCAGTTATCTCAAAATACCACATCTCAAGTGGTATTCTGTAACAGTGAATTTCATCCAAAAATCAACACAAAAGTCATTTCTCCATCTATCCTATTTGCCTAGAATTTTTTTAAAAAAACCTGAATCAAACGTGGTATTTTTCAATATCCACTGACATTTCCCCATCAATCTCAAAATAAATCTCCAACCAAACACTAGCTAAGAAAGTTCCTGGGGAGAAAGGGGAAAGCACAATGGATTCCAGGGCAATAAGTTGCTTTGTACCTTGCTGTTCCTTTATTGTTTATATATAAAACGTTCAAGTCACTAGGATTCGTACAGTAGTCAAGAGTTTGAGTAGTTTATATTAAATTATGTGTTTAATTTTTATTATTATATCCATACATATATATATGGTCATGATTATTTTACATCGGTATAAGTTATACTATTAATCATGGCCGTTAATCCTATATTTAACGATTCTGATTTACTACATATATGAGCCGTTAGATGCAAGCAAATCAATTATCAAGATTTGGTATAAGATTTCTTATTCTTACACCGATTTAAAAATTATATATATATATATAGAGAGAGAGGTAGGATCCTTTGACACCTCATCTGAGAGCCATTAGATCGAAAAAGATCAATGACTCTGATTTGTGAGCATGAGATATCATTGATCTTTATTTATGTAATGGCTCTCATATGAGGTGTCAAATTTCAAATTTGATACCGGTGTCAAGGATCTTACCTCATATATATATAACTTGGGGCAGGATCATTTGACACTGGTTTCAAACTAAAAAGTTTGACATCAAATCCTAACCGTTGATTTTTGCAAATCTAATGCTTATAATTTATTGGATCACACTTATAAATTAATTTTCATTCCCAATAAATTATAATTGTATATTGACGGAAATTAACGGTTATAATTTTATGTCAATTTTTTTAATTTAACACCGATGTTAAAAGATCTTATCCCATAAAACTTTTAACCCTTTAATTTTTTCTTAATATTGTCTCCTTTTCTATATACATAAAGCTTCTCTATAGAAATTATGAATTCAATTATATAGAGTTTATAATAAACAATGTCAACCGTAACCTTTTGAACATGTTTATATTGATATTGAATTAAAATCAAATTCAAAATTAATTTACCAATAACAAGAAATGATTTGAAGAGTGATATAGAGTAGAGAGTTATGTAAAGTAAATGAATTTCTTGTTATTATGTAGTTCAAGTTTTAATGAATTAAAATCACCCCCCCCCCCCCCCCACATTCCCTCTCATGAGGAGGGGGGGGGATACATTTAATATTAAATTAAATTTAAAATAGAAAGAAATTTTACAGACGATAAATTATACTTAATTTGCGTTCATGTTTTTTTTTTTAACTTTCCATACTCCACCAGTAATTTTTTACAACTATTTTTTCAATTGATATAAAAAATTATAATAGTTTGGACACATTTATACTCAATAATAATGTAAGGGTCTGTTTGTTTGTATTTTTTAATAAAAAAACATGTTTAAATTTTTTATAATAATAAGAATGTTTTTTTTAGAAAAAAGTAAAAATCTAAAAAAAAAATTATTGCTTGTCCCTTTAGTGAGGAAGAATAAATTTAAGAAAAAAAAACCTAATACAACATTTTTGTTTCTGTCGGCCCTTTTATAATACTCTAACTGGAATTCAAGTCGCGATATCTAAATAAAGTTGGTAAGAGAACAACTTTCAATTTATAGTACAACTATATTAAGAGAGTAAGGACCACCATTAAGTAGAAACTCAATCCAATGGAAAAAGCATCTAAAGTATTTAAAAACATGGTTAGATACTAACTTATGATGGTCCATGATGATAATTAACAAAGAAAGCATTTCTGTATAATAGTCAAACATGCACTGCACTAGCCCATTAAGACAGCAGAAACATAAAACATGCAAGCGTGATGGAATTGCATGGTACCCTAACATAATTGGAACAATCATATATATGTAAGCAAGTGAATGAACATAAATTATTACACATACCATATGACAACTTTTTTTTTTTTCTTTTATTCCCTAACATGCACTGCACACACAATACAAAAATCCATTCCACATAAATTTCATATAATCGCTAATACTCTTATAAACATTTTAACGATTGCAAATTGTAGTTCTTGGCATTTATTCAGCATGAAGTTCAAGGTGTTTCATTTTGGCCAAGTATTGCATCCTTTCTTTTTCCTTTTCTTGTATATCTGTGTTTGAAAAAAGTCCGAACTATATATATATATATATATATATATATATATATATATATATATATATATATATATATATATATATATATATATAGGGCTTATCATTTCTCAAGCTGTCGGACATATTTTATCTCCGGCTACTAAATCATAACCGTACAAAGATGAATCAATAGTAATGAAGGAAGAGAGGAAAAAAGAGAATCATAACCATTAAAGGTGAATCAATTAATATAAGGAAATAAATAAACAAAACGACGTAATTTTGGGGTAGCGGAAGATAAACTTATCTCAAGTTATTGGAGAAATAATTTTCTCATATATATATATATTACTGTCAACTATTTTTCACATATCCTTTTTTTCCACTAAAGAATTTAGGAATAGATAGGTTGCTCTGATCCTCCGTTAGTGCCACGGAAGGATCACTTATAAGTATTTTAAGCCAACCCCTTTCCTTCCACTATTACAACTAGAAGCACCCCATAAATGTTGTAGTTTTACAGAGCCCAGACTAATTATCAGGCTTAAGTTTTGAATTCTAACTTAATGTGGAAAGAATAACCAGCTTTGTCTACCTGAAAACTGGATTGAAATTGAGAAATGATACCTAACTATGACACGAGGTTCAAATTATTTTCATTCGGAGTGTCTTGGAAATTTAAAAATCTATACAAACAATGCATATTGGCCAATCAAGAAACATATTGGAAAAGGGAAATTTCAATTAGTAAGGTGTAAAATAGAAAGTTGGTTTTCACACAAATTAACCAAACAGCTGAGAAAATGGTATTATATTTCTTCAAGATCTTATCTCCAAAATCAAGGAACTATAGCAAAAGCTTGTAATTTTATAATGTAAAATCAATATATAATTACACAAGCTTATCCAGTTGCTGAAAACAAAGGTGAAATGAGGGAAATGAAGAAATCAACATGTATTATCATATTTCAACCAAATTGCCTTGCCCAGAAAAGTCATTGGGGAAGTGCGTGTGTGTGTGCCAAGCAGATACTTCACTTCTATTAATTACTCTGAGCAATGTGCTCTCTTTGTATGTTCCTTTGTCTCCATTCTAGGGATTACTTATTTCGATCAGAGAAATAAGAGTAATAACTTTCCTCCGTATAGGGTTTGTTTCTGAATTAATATATCAGTTACTTTGGGATTTACCATCTCCCATAGTAATCTATTCCAAATATTGGCCAATCCAAACCTATTTTATTTAAGAAAGGAAAGTAAATGTCAGAAAAGTATCTAGGTGATTGTATCTATTAGGTCAAAATATAGGATCTTTAGTAGGTGCCATAAACAAACCCAATTAAGCTCATACAAATCCAGAGTTTAATCTCTAAGAATTACACTATTATTCTACTAAGTGCCAATATTACACTAGATTAAACAAAACAATACTAGGGTGGGTTTCCACTCCAACTATATATATGAACATTTCTAGGCTTCCTAAGCTTATTTATGGCAACACAGAAGTGCATGCTTCACAATATATAGCAGCAATTCAAAATTGATAAAGTCGTCTGCATCAAATCTTTCACACAGATCTCTGATCTCTCGTATGAAGCTGATTTATTATAACCAAAAGCCACTTACTGAAGGTTATCCACTTCATGAAAAGCCCACTGCCCTTGCATGTCATAGGACATGGAGTTACAACTCTCTTCAAAGCTAGAAAATGAGATACTTTCTTCCAGGGTTCCTGAATTTTCATAATTTCCAATAGGGTTTGGATCCATCAGAGTAGTATTCCCATAATATTGAGTTGTTGAGGGATTAGTGGACAGATTAGGAAGAAATTGAGGACCCACGTTGGAATTCTCCATCTGGAACCAACATTGAAGATCTTGGGGTAAAGTAGTAGGTTTTCCAAAGTATTTCTCATTAGGGTTTTCAGCTGCAGAGACATTGAGACAGCTCTGAGATGCTTGTTCCCTGAGATAAGCTAGTTGTGCTTGTAAATTTACAACCTACAAAGAAAAAAAAAGTGAATATATTAGTCTACAATAGTAAATCAGCTAGGGTTTTGAGTTACAAACTAAGATTGCTTGTAACTCATCATGAGAGAGAGTAACAAACCTGTTGTTGGAGTGCAAAAATATGAGCAACACAGCCATAAATTGGATCCTGAAGTCTAGCTTGAGCTTCATATGAGATTGTGACTGCAGCTTCACAACGGTCACTCACAGGGAGGTGTGCAAGGAGCTTTGAGACATTGCTTGCACCAAAGACCTTATGAATGGCAGAAAAATGGGTAGCACCCTGTTCATGGCAAAAGTAAGGTGCAAAAACACAACCTCTGACACATTTCCTTCTCAAGAATTTGCAGGCTCCACAAGGAGAACCAGAACCAGTCATCTTGGCCTTTTGGGGTTTAAATTGTGTGGTCTTTAGGATTTTGGTTGTTTCTGGCTCTCTTATGCTTTGTGCAATTCATAATCATTTATCATCATCTTTATATACACCTCAGCAAGGAGCAAGGGGAGGCTTAGAATAAGGAATATTTAATTACATTAGGTCCCCTTAATGGCCTACAGTGTTCATTATTTTTCCCCAGATAAAACACTATCATCCCCCTCTACCAAATTTTTATTTGTCAGACAAATTAGATTCCATTCAACATCCTTATACGACAAAAGAGCTAGCATTAACCAAACCCATTTTGTTTGATGATTGAATCTATCTGCTCTTGTCTTTTCTTTTCTTAATAATATGTATTGGTACCTTATATATATGTGATAGCCGCAAGTACATTTATTGGACTGCTTTACTTGTATACTTGACCGAGAGAATATGGAAATGGAAGGAAACAGAACTGGCTTATTTAATAATAATTTTTTTACTAGTTAAGAACTCATTTTTTACAGCTTTTACCGTAAGTAACTCATTTGTTATTTACTGTAGATGCTGATTTCTCTCTATAAAAACTTTTGATTGAAAATTGGAAAAAAAGAAATTATTTCCATTATGCGGCTAATGAAGAATGCCCAACTGTTACCCAACACAGATTTTTTCCTCAACACGCTTCTTAATCATTTATATATCATATATATGTTTGGTTTAATTAGCAAAAAGATTGTATTATGAGGAGTGCTCTATTCTATACTGTGGTGGGGGAGTATCCTTTTAAACAACAATAACCTATATATATTATATGATTTCGAAGTTATTCAATCTTAATTGCTACTCTTAGGAAGTTATTTTTATGAGCATAATCTTAAATGCTCCCTCTCATTGTTAAGTCATGCAACAGCATCGACTGGGAAGGGCATGACAAATGTAGTTAAGCTAAAAGGGACCCCAATATATATCATAACATATTGAAGGTCAATTCAATTAATAAAATTGAGTCATACTTTGTAGCTAGGACAACCCCGAGAAAAAACAACAAATAATTAAGTTGAATATATTACACAAGGTCCCCCAAACTCTCCATATTGTTCAAGGAAAAAGATAAAAACGTGTCTATAAATATTTCTTGAAATCAAAACTTGGGCTTATGTCTAGATGTGTCCCTCGCATTACAGTTCTATTCCATAATTTATCACATTGCCTCACTAATAATGTTTTAAAACTCGGATCGGATCGGTTGGGTTGATCTGGGTTTCGGTAATCCGATAGTCTCACCGGTTCGAGCTGACCATTGGATCGATCATGCAGTTGAACCAGTATCAATTCATTGAACCGGTCATGACCCGCGGTTCAACCGATATTAACTGATATCGGGTTTCACACTTGAATTGATTTCTCAAAGTTTGTGTAAAATGAATTTAAATTTTGCAGCATCAAGAACTCAAATCCATACGGGGTTGATGGAAGTTGCAACACCTACCACTACGCTAGAGTCACTTACTTATCATTATACATATTTTAATACATTTATTATATAATTTAATTAAATTTAATTTAATTGATTGAACCAGTGAACTACCGATTGAATCACTGACCCATTAACCCAATACATCGACGGAATCGATGACCGGACCAAGTTTTAAACACTGCTTATTAACCTAATTAGGCTTAGTTTATTGTTGGCGGCACAAATTATTATGGTACTTGTATTGGCAGAAAGAGCATAGTGAATTAGGGTTAAAGCTTTATGATTATATATGCCATTTGAGTTCAATAAAAGTATTAACAAATAATTATCCTGGCCGACACTATAAAAGTTCAATAATCTGGGGACACTTTTGCCTCTTCAAGGAGCTCTCTAACACATTAGTGGGGAATGGTGTTTTCAATGAACAGACACTTATTATGGTTGTTAATAAGATTGATTAGAAATTAAATATGTGACAAATTAATGATCAACATTTCCTGGTGGATTCTTGTTATGGGAATAATTGTCCTGTAAGTACAGGTAATCAAAATGTAAAGCAGGCAAAAAAAAATAGAAAGAGGAAGACACAAAAAAAAAAAGCAGATTCCAAAAAATGAATGAAACAAAGGATAGTGACACTTGTTTAGATCATATGGAAGCTAATTAAGAGAGAGGGAGGGGTAAGGATATGTGATTTGTTTGCCCTTTCCACAGTTGAAATTGTTTAAGCCTTGGAGGTCATGGTTTGTCGAGCAATACCGTATAATTAACAAATAATCATTATCAAATACTGCACATACTCATTCAAAACTTTCCATCACTTTCTTGTGTCCGGTATAGGCACCTACATGTAGACCCATCCCAAATGTGCAATGGGCCCCACATTCAATACTAGCTAATAATGACATTCTAACAAGAAGCCACAAAATTAAAATAAAATTAACAGAGATATCTGTGGAGAAACACGGCACTTGAGAGATAATTGAGATGAAATGAGAAATAAAAAATTAAAATTTAGTGAAAGATATAATGAACATGATACAAGGTTAATACAGAACTTATATTTGATTAATTGGCTAGAATAATTAATTATATATGCATATGTAACTATTTAGCTCACTAAGCTAACTAATTATACCATCCTAACTATGATAATAGTAATTATTTATTTTAGTGAGAAGGGAGTTGGTCAAATAAATTGTACCCTTTTTTACTAATATGTTCAATATAAAATAATCTTTGAAGCTTTCTATAAAGTCATTTACAATATTTGACATGCATGTTATCTATCAAAGCCTTTTTTATAACAAAATAAATTTCAATATAAAGTAAAGATTAACCAAATTAATTGTTGAAACTTTACACTCAAAGTGCTCTTGCTTGATCATTGACACTTTAGTATAAAATATTAGACTTTGAATATATCATCATTACAATCGACACTTAAAATTTATGCCAGTATTAATGGAGCTATTAGCTAATTCATGGTTCTAGTATATTCTTTTTGACTAAAAACTCTTGATGAAAAAAGAAAGCAGTTGAGAGACTGATTGTTCTATACACGCCAACTAGAACTTTTAACCCTGCATATACCTCAATGAAAGCCATTATCATCCTCAAATTAAGACGAATAGTTGTGTCATCCATATACTTGCTTGCCACTTACGCATGACGGCATAAGAGTGAAGAGTGTTGGAGACAGCAGGCATATGAACACCAACATGCCCCGTTTTATATTGTTAAATTAATTTGTAATTATCCCCATTCGTCATCAATCAAGGTGGGGTTCAACTAATTATCTATTACAAGAAAGAGGATTGTGATATATACATTTGTCTAAACATGAGACATTTGTATAAAGTTTGAACAAGCTTGTTTAAATAAAATTAAGGACCATATGTATTGTCTAGCTATGTACTTCTAAATGTTATTATGTATGTATATTTTCATTTCATATTTTATACCTAACCTTTTTCTTATTCGATTTTGCAATGCGCATCTTTATCATAACATTGTGTTTGCTCAGGATTTTGTGGTCTTCCCATTTGAAGACACATGAATTCAAAATGATTGACTCAACACAGCACTTTCCAACAGATTTTTCTGCTTCTTCATCTGCTCCAGGTCACATATTGTTGGAAATCGACAATCACACAGAATCGAGAAAACAGAAAAAGAGATAAGAGTAGAGAGATTGACACGATGATTTACCCTGGTTCACCCAATATAGGCTACGTCCAGTTTGTCTGTACTATATTCACCTCACCGCCACTCGTTACAAGTCTCTCGGTTTACAAGGCAAATATAAATAGGATTACAAGAAACCCTAACAGCAGCTATTCATGGGCCCCAGTTGCCTTTCTGCTGACCCCGACAATTAGGGCCAACATCATCATGTGAAGTATGAGCCATACCCAACATTCTCCCACTTGGTGAATGCTTCACATGTTTCTTCAATCCCAAAGCATCTGTACACCATTCAAACTTCTCCGAAGTCACTGCCTTGGTCAGAAAATCAGCATTGTTGACCTTTGTGTCAACCTTCTCCAGCAATACAACCTTGTCTTCAATCTTCTCTCTGATGAAGTGGTACTGTATGCCGATATGCTTGGTCCTCGCATGGAAACCTGGGTTCTTAGCCAAGAAAATGGCGCTCTGACTGTCACACCCAACGATCATCTCTCCTTGTGCAAAGCCAAGCTCTTTGCACAACCTCCGTAACCAAATAGCTTCCTTAACAGCATGTGTCAAGGCCATGTACTCAGCCTCTGTAGAAGATAAAGCAACAGTGCTCTGCCTCTTACTCATCCAACCGATAGCTCCGCCAAATGAAGAAACAACATATCCACTTGTAGATCTTCTACTATCAATGTCACCTCCCCAATCAGCATCCACAAAGCATCTCAGCTCTAACAATGTCTGTCCCCTTGAGCCCTTCACGCCTTCATAGCATAACCCAAGGTCAGACGTACCACGAAGATAGCGGAACACACGCTTCACAGCCGTCCAATGCTCATTTCCTGGCTTGGACATATACCTGCTCAATACTCCCACTGCTTGAGCAATATCAGGTCGAGTACAAATCATGGCATACATTAGACTCCCTACTGCACTAGCATAAGGAACTGACGCCATCTCTTCTTTTTCCTCTTCAGTCTTGGGACACTGGTCAGCCGATAACTTAGAACCAGTAGACATGGGGGTCAACACAGGCTTGCAGTCAGTCATCTTGAATTTCTTCAGAACATCTTCTATGTACTTCTGCTGACTTAACCATAATCTTCGTTTGTCACGCTCCCTCTTAATCTGCATACCCAAGATCACATTTGCAGCGCCTAGATCTTTCATTTCAAACTGCTTTGCTAGCAGTCCTTTAACAGTGTTGATCATTTTCAAACTGTTTCCAACGAGTAACATGTCGTCAACATACAAAGTTAGAATAACAAAGTCACCTTCTAACCTTTTCACATAAACACAGTGATCAGCATCACAACGGTCAAAGCCAAGCTTCAGCACATAAGTGTCGAACTTCATGTAC